ATTTTGGGAAGTAAGCAATCGGAAGCACTCAGCTCCTCAATGAAAACGTCTAATCAGAGCAGAACTCTAATGCAGGATGTTCTCAAGTAAGTGGGAAGAACACTTTTACTGCTTGATTGTGTAAAAAGGATGTAAATTGACTGGTAGCTATTAGATGGTACAAACTGATTATTATTGTCGATATTGCATGTAATGAATATATACCTGTTTTAGAATATTATGAATAATACACAAAGTACTTTATAAGATGGAACATATAGAACACTAACTTATAAATGGCCAGGGTCCAGCATACCTAAGGGACCGCTTTTCCCCATATGTTCCCCCAAGGGCACTATGGTCGGGGGCGCTTCATCTTTTGGTTACCCCAGGCCACCAGGACATCAAATTCGCAGCAACCAGGGCCAGGGCTTTTTCGGTGGCAGCTCCTACCTGGTGGAATGAGCTCCCGGAGGACACCCGGGCCCTGCGGGATCTTGTGCAGTTCCGCAGGGCCTGCAAGACGGAGCTCTTCTGCCAGGCCTTTGAGCAGAAGCTGCTGCCACCACTATACCACCAACACACCACCACCACAAAGGTGTGGATACCATCAGGGTGCTAGACGACCCTGGGATGAAGACTGGATGGCAGCGTCGCTTTGGAACTTACATCCCTGTTCTGAGTCTATCTTGCCAGAACCCATCTTAGAATCATGGACATTTGGAGTACCAGCACTTTACTGTATTACTGTATTGTTTTATCTTGTTTTGAACTGTTTTAACCATGGCCTTGAGCCGTAAATGTTAGCCACCCTGAGCCTGAGGGGAGGGCGGGATATAAATCGAATAATGAATAAATAAAAATAAATAAGGTTTTTGCAGTGCATATATTTGTTGTTTGACTCCACCTGGAGGTTAAAAGGTAAAGGTTCCCTTGCTCGAAAGCCAGTCGAATCTGACTCTAGGGTTGCGGTGCTCATCTCCGTTTCAAAGCTGAAGAGCCAGCGCTGTCCGAAGACGTTTTCGTGGTCATGTGGCCGGCATGACTAAACACCAAGGCGCACAGAACACTGTTACCTTCCCACCGAAGTGGTACCTATTTATCTACTTGCAATTTCTTGCTTTCGAACTGCTAGGTTGGCAGGAGCTGGAACTAGAGACGGGAGCTCACTCCGTCATGTGGAACCCGGGTCTCGAACTGCTGAACTACTGACCTTTCACAGCCTGCAGTTCAGCGTCTTAACCACTTGAGCCACCGCAGCTCCTTACCTGGAGGTTAGCAGAAGAAATAAAGGGGGAACCTCAGCGTATAGCAGGGGTGTCAAACGTATGGCCCAGAGGGCGCAACTGGCCCATCCAGGGCTCTTACCTAGCCCATGAGCAACTGATTATCTTTACTGCCAGATGACAGAGGCTGTGCATTATGTCCCTGCATACTGTCCCAGTTCTAATGCGTAACAGGCTGTGAAAGTGGGAGGGTGGTCATGAGGGAGATACTGTAAGGAAATGCGGTAAGAGTGTTAATGTTTTAAGCATGGTTGCATTTTGAGTAAAAAATATTATTGTTAATTTGGTTTGCCTGTGTCCTTTATAAAGATTACATCTCCAGTACCTGGCATTATATTTTATGGCACACACAGCCCGGCCCGGCAAAGAGAAATTTATGTCAGATCTGGCCCTTATAACAAATGAGTTTGTCCCCTCGAGCGCATAGTATGCAAAAAAGAAAGAAAATGCTAAGGAAAAAACCATCAACAATACGAAATGTATTCTGTACTAAAATAAAAACAAATTTATTATGCAATAGACTGTCACATGTTATTTCTGTTTCATGCTAATGCATTAGTTCTGTATTGAGGTTGGTGGTCACAACCCAACCGTAACTGTTTATGAAGTTTATATGCTCCCAGGCACTATTTCACAACAATAATCGCTCTTGAACAAGACACAGTAAATATGTATGGATGTCACACTGCATCAATCCACTGCAATTCAATCCACTGCATTAAGTGTAAGGCTGAAAGTGAAATCGACATTAACAGTGGAACTGACATTCAACTGGTAGAGACCTAGACAAAAGCCGAAAAATCTAGTTGCTGATTTAGACCATACGGAGCATGAGTTTTAAGATATTTAATAAAACAAGTTTCCTTTTGTAAAATAATAAGATTAATGTCTTCTGATATGTGCCAGTTATTATATCTGGCCCGTTTGATAATATTAGCCAAATGCAAAAATTGAAAGGCACATGCAATGTTGTTACATACAGGTTTGTTTTTATATTGTAATAACTGTGTTCAGTCAATCTGTTTTGCCCTACGTCTGGCACTGTTAATGATCTGAATTGGATATCCTCTCCAAACTGCCTCTCCAATATACCTGCTTCTTGCTTATAGTCCTGGGAAGAAGAAGAATTCCTTTTGGCTCTCAAAAACTGGCCATGAGGTAAGTAGGATCTTAAATGGTACAGATGATAAGTATAGTATAAAGTAAAGGTAAAGGTTCCCTTGCTCAAAAGCCAGTCGAATCCGACTCTAGGGTTGCGGTGCTCATCTCCGTTTCAAAGCCGAAGAGCCAGCGCTGTCTGAAGACGTTTCCGTGGTCATGTGGCCGGCATGACTAAACACCAAGGCTCACGGAATGCTGTTACCTTCCCACCGAAGTGGTACCTATTTATCTACTTGCAATTTCTTGCTTTCGAACTGCTAGGTTGGCAGGAGCTGGAACTAGAGACAGGAGCTCACCCTGTCTTGCGGCACCCGGGTCTTGAACTGCTGAACTACTGACCTTCCACAGCCTGCAGTTCAGCGTCTTAACCACTTGAGCCACCGCAAGGTACCTAGTATAGTATAGCATAGTTTTTATCAGTAGGCTTGTGATCATTCCTAACCAATAGTCTTCCAGAGCTGTTTATATATATATGGTGTCAAGAAAACTTACAGATCGTCTGGCAACTCTATAGCAATGACGACAGCTCCCTCACTTGCTGCCACCAGGGCCTCCTTGCTCACTATAGTGGTGGCTCATGGGTGGCTTGGGCAGCCGGCTTGCCACACTGGTGGCTTTCTCACTGGACTCAGTGGCCACTGGCTTGCTTGCTGTGGCTGGTCAGGGGTGGCTCAGGCAGCCTCCGCATGGGGTGAGGGCTGCCAGCTTTCTGCAGCAGTGTCTCCGTGCCAGGCCCACATGGGGCAAGGTCCACCCCTTACTTGGGGCTGGGGTGAGCCCTGTTCAGAGGGCAACCCACCAACCCATTGGCTCAGTGTGGCTTTTCTTGGTGTCGTTAATGGCCAATCCACCCCTGAAGGTGCCAGCAGCTTTCAGATTGTCTCCTGAACTTAAGAGGGGAACTACAGACCCTAGACCAGTGGTGGCGAACCTATGGCACGGGTGCCAGAGGTGGCACTCAGAGCCCTCTCTGTGGGCATGCGTGCCATTGCCCCAGCCAGGCCCAGACCATCATTAAAGTGTCGAATTCTCTGCCAAATAATTTTGAGTAAATGAAAGCATTTGGGATTGCTTTCCTTACTCTGTTTGGATCATCTTAAGTTAATGCATCAGTGTTTTTTTTTCTAAAGTAAATCCTCAGTATTCAGATTAAATTGCCGTGTCTCTACGTCTGTTTGACTGAACCACACAAATGCCGGCCTTGCATGTGATCCAGACGAACAGGACGGATCCCGGACACGAGCCCCCAAGATCTGTTAGCCGAATTGCTCTCAAAGAGAAACAATTGGAACAGTTTTGTTTTTTTTTAACTTCGGGAACAACCGTCTTTGTTTACGGAGGATGCTGCTGATTCTGAGGTTCCCAATGAGAGACTGAGGCAGACTTCCTTAATAATAATGATAGTTTACTGGCATAATTCACTCAATAACACACAACATTCACAGACATACAATATAGAACTATAAGGAAGCAGAGGGGATTGATGGCTTATAGAGGTAGCGTATAGAGGGGTGATACAACCTGTTCAGATGTGCAGAGGTCCATGGATTGTGGCCTAAACTCAGAGAGTTTAGGGGTGGCCTGCCATGTTGGGTTATGGCAGAGAACACACGGGCTGAGGCCATGTTCACGCTGGGATATACCCTATGGAAAACAATGCAGGCCAATGCCTAGTCCTGGGGCTGGTCTCAGGTGAGAACAATAGATTTCCTGGACCAATGATGAGTCCCAGCGGTGTGTGGCATCAGGAGGGGCAAGGCCTAGATGTCCAGAGGGGCAGGGTCTGGATTTAACAATAGAAGCCAGGTGCTGGGCGGCTAGTTAAGTGGATAATCTGACCACTAATGGCCCTGGCCAGGGTAAACAAAAGGTGGGAGACGTCCCTGATTAGCGTCAGGGAGGATCGTTAATAATTTGAATGTTTGTCCCCGTATCTTGATGGACAGAGTAGAAAAGATATTCAGACAAAGAATTACTGGAGAGAGAGTTATTTGCCAAGTGGCTTTTGAATAGACTTTAGAAATGTAAATACTTTACCTGCTAGAACTCATTGTTATTTCATAAGCATAATCTCTGCTGGGTGGAGGGGGAAAACTGGAGGTTTGCTCTGAGGTTGCCTGTCACCTGAAAATGGAGACCCCTTTTTCAGAGCTGTGGCTAGCTCTGTGTTTCAGAACCAAGAGTGCCTTCCTTGGCCTGAATTTTGTGGGTCTCTGGATCAGGTTAGAAGTGGGGTGCCCTTGCTATGGGCTACCCAATAGTAAAAGGCAGCGCCTCTGGCTTACACGGTCTCTAAAAGGTTCGCCATCACTGCCCTAGACTGTCATCCAAAGGAGTATCCAGAGTCTCATTCAGCTGGAGTTATGGCTGGGTTGAAAGTGTATCTCCCTTTCCAGGATAACACTCTGTCAGAGGCGTCCAAACTTTAATGGAATTTGGACTTTGCCCAGATTCACTTAGCATTATTCTAAATCAATAAAACATCAGGCTGCAGTCCTCGGTGTGGTATGATCTCACCCGTAGTCATTTAGACCTCCTTTGACTTTCGTAGCAGGACAGAGAATGGCAGACTTGTTTTGACACTGCCTCCTTCTCCTCCTTCCAGGAGATAATTGTTTCCTTCTGTACAACATTTGCAGCTAGATCAGAGGCGGAGGCTTTGCAGATGCCTCGCCTATCTTTCTGGGAAGTGGTTTTCCGTTCTGGTCTCAAGCCACAGTTATACCAGACAGGAGCAGAGACTTCGCTGCATTCAAGATTCCAGCCCGGCTCTCATCCCAGCTAAAGACAAGATCTGGAATGAAGCAGAGCTTTCTTACCTTTTGCCTCCTGGCCACCTTCACAGACACAGGTAAGGATTTAAAAGAGTTTATAATGGGTGACTTTTGGAAGCAGTGGGGTCCACACTAGGGATACTTCCAATTTCTCCGTGAACATGAGTGACTGCCAGACTTACCATGTTCAAAGGTGGTAATTGGATGTTGTTGTGAGATTTTTGGAGGTGTGGGTGAGTGTCTGCACATTGTCTGTGAAAGCGTGCTTACCCATGTCACCCACACTCCCCCCTCAGTTCGTGTGTGTCTCCTGAGTGTCACCCCGTACCAAAGGCAGATGTGCAAGCTTGGAAATCACTAAAATAAACTAATCTTTATTATAGCAAAACATTCAGAGTTCTAATTCCTAAACATTTGATATAATACACACAGAAAAATAAACATGCAAAGCAAAGTTTTTCCCACCCCATGCAAGCGCGTCGAGAGGCCTCTCTCTCTGGCTGTCTCCTTTGGAGTCAGCTAAAATCTGTGGGCTCTGACCAGTATTTAAACCCAACATCAAAGAAGTCCCTTAACGATTGTATCACAGTTAACATCTAGAAGTGGAAATTGCTTATTACAAATTGTTTCCTAGAAGTAGGGATTGTAAATCCCTTCCTTGGTTTCACACAACAAAAGTTCACATTCCAAAAGGATCAATACAGTGCCATTGTTTCTTCCAGGTGTTCCCCAATCAGGGAAATAAACTGTGCTTTGATGTTTATCAGAGAGATGAAAGCAGGGTGTGTGTGTGTGAACCCTCTGTATTTCAGGAAATTAGCTTGTCTTGCCAGCTGGTCAACTGACCATACTTCTTACTGTCTAGGAGATTGGGGTTATTGGCAAGTTTCACATCTGTGGAGTTTCCCTGGGAATTGAATATGTTACCTCCTTAGTGAAAGAAAGGTCAAGCCAGGTTTTTTTTTTTTTCCTAGCCAGGGCAGAGCCAGATATTGTATATGGATTTCATAAACTTATTTGGTTCATTTTAAACCCAAACCTTCTTCTATATTTTAATATTTCTTACCACAGATGTGAGCAGGGCTATTTTGGGGCAGGAACGCACAGGGACGGAGTTCCGGCTGGCTCCCGAGCTGGCCACGCCCAGCAGGAACTCATTAGCATAATAGGCCACACCCAACAGCAGAAACTCATTAGGATTGGCTACATTAGGTGTGTGTGGCCTAACATGCAAAGGAGTTCTTGCTCCAAACAAAGAGCCCTGGGTTTGGACAACAAACAGGGTAAACAGAATAAGAAGCAAAAGGTGGGTGTGGCTGGATGACCACACTTCTGGTAACATGGGGGTGCAACCTAATGTGCTAATGAGCTGTGCTGTCAGGGGTGTGGCCCAATATGCTAATGAGTTCCTGCTGTTGGGTGTGGCCTATTATGCTATTGAGTTCCTGCTGGACTTTTTCTACAAAAAGAGCCCTGTGAGCCCATCACTTGGTCTCTTTGGCTCATGCTGAGCCGTTGTGCATCCCTGACAAAGTGGATTGTGTCAGGTTCTACCCAAACTGCGTGCCTGCAAAGGCCCCGCTGATTCAGACTGGCAGCCATTCACTTCAATATGGACTACGTAGATAAAGGGCCCCCAGTATGGCGCCGTTGGGCCCTGTGGTTCCCGCAAACACCGTTTCTGGGGAAGAACACCTTTTGGAGAGGGACCTGGGGCTATTTTGACCAGCATGGGGTACGTTCAGTACAATTGGTCTTTAGAGAGGTTGTGATTTACCTTTTCTGCAGTTTAGATCTTATCAAATGCTTTCTCCCTTGAGTCTTCTTGTGCTTCTCCCACACCTGTAACTTAGATGTATCCTCTCTACTACTGGAAGGCCTACAGTTAGAAAATTCTTCAAGCAATCGTGTTTTTGTCGTAAACATTATCAAAGGCAGCTACGCGGGTGGAGCTGGTTTCCCCATTTCTGCCAACTCCTCCTGTTCCAGTCTCTCCTTTCTGAACTCTCACTGAAGAGCCTCCTGCCTTTACTGAAGGGAAAAGGATGAGGAGAAGAAGAAGGAGAAGGAGAGGAGGAGGAGAAGGAGAGGAGGAGGAGGAGGAGACTGGATTTATACCCCACCCTTCACTGGGAGTCTCAGAGCAGCTTACAAACTCTTTTCCCTCCCCCTCCCCACAACAGACACCCTGTGAGGTAGGTGAGGCCGAGAGATCTCTTTCCAGAACTGTCCTTAAGAAGAAGAAGAGAAGAGAAGAGATTGGATTTATACCCCGCCCTTCACTTGGAGTCTCAGAGCGGCTTACAAACTCCTTTCCCTTCCCCTCCCCACAACAGACACCCTGTGAGGTGGGTGGGGCTGAGAGAACTCTGACAGAAACTGCTCTTTTTCAAGGACAGCTGTGCCAGAGCTTGTGACTGACCCAAGGTCACATCAGCAGGTACAAGTGGAGGAGTGGGGAATCAAACCCGGTTCTCCCAGATGAGAGTCTGCGCACTTAACCACTACACCAAACTGGCAGGTATCCCATAACTCCTCCCAGAAAGAGCTCCTGTGCCACAATCTCTATGTCTAGGCATGAACTGCACCTCAGGTTGTAAGCTTGGACATGAAAAGATGTCCCCAAAAGATCAATCCAGTTATTGCTTCTACGTTTCCCTACTCTTAGGAGAGTCTGTTTCGTGTGAGACTTGTTTTGGCATGGGCCAAACCTGTGAGGGAACTTCGCTGGATTGTCCTCCTAATACAGACACATGTGGCATCATACAGCTAAGATCCTCAGGAGGTAAGTCCAACAGTTGCCATCAGGGTCCAATGAAGGTTAGCCAAGGTCAGGAATTACAGATTCCTATTCCAGGGCTGGCTTAATCATGAATGCTCAAATGTGAACTTGTGGATCTCCTGACAAAGATATGTAATCTTTCCTTAAAATCTGCCTCCATTCCTGAGGATTGGAAGGTAGCTAATGTCACTCCCATCTTTAAAAAGGGTTCCAGAGGAGATCTGGGAAATTACAGGCCAGTCAGTCTGACGTCGATACTGGGTAAATTGGTGGAAACCATTATTAAGGAAAGAATTAGTAGGCACATAGATGAACAAAACCTATTGAGGCAGACTCAGCACGGTTTCTGTAAGGGAAGATCTTGTCTCACTAACCTGTTAGTGTTCTTTGAGGGGGTGAACAAGCATGTGGACAAGGGGGATCCAATAGATATTGTTTACCTTGACTTCCAGAAAGCTTTTGATAAAGTTCCTCATCAAAGGCTCCTAAGTAAGCTCAAAAATCATGGGATAGAAGGACAAGTCCTTTTATGGATCAAAAACTGGCTAATTCATAGAAAACAGAGAGTGAGTATAAATGGGCAATTTTCTCAGTGGAGGGTGGTAAGCAGTGGGGTACCGCAGGGATCAGTACTTGGTCCACTGCTTTTTAACTTGTTCATTAATGATTTGGAGATGGGAGTAAGCAGTGAAGTGGCTAAATTTGAGGATGATACAAAGTTGTTCAGGGTGGTGAAAACCAGTGAGGATTGTGAGGCACTCCAAGGGGATCTGTCAAGGATGGGCGAGTGGGCGTCAACATGGCAAATGGGGTTCAATGTGGCCAAGTGCAAGGTGATGCACATTGGAGCCAAAAATCCTAAATATAAATACACATTGATGGGGTCTGAACTGGCAGAGACTGAGCAAGAGAGAGATCTTGGAGTTGTAGTGGATAACTCACTGAAAATGTCGAGACAGTGTGTGACTGCAATAAAGAAGGCCAATGCTATGCTGGGGATTATTAGGAAGGGTATTGAAAACAGATCAGCCAATATCATAATGCCCCTATATAAATCAATGGTGAGACCTCATTTGGAATACTGTGTGCAGTTCTGGTCACCACACCTTAAAAAGGATATTATAGCTTTGGAAAAAGTGCAGAAAAGGGCAACTCGAATGATAAAAGGGTTGGAACACTTTCCCTATGAGGAAAGGTTAAAGCACTTAGGGCTCTTTAGCTTGGAGAAACGACGACTGAGGGGTGACATGATCGAGGTTTATAAGATTATGCATGGGAAAGAGCAGGTAGAGAAAGAGGTACTTTTCTCCCTTTCTCACAATACAAGAACTCGTGGGCACTCCATGAAACTGCAGAGCGGTCGGGTTAGAACGGATAAAAAGAAGTACTTCTTCACCCAAAGAGTGATTAACACATGGAATTCACTGCCACAGGAAGTGGTGGCGGCTACAAGCATGGACGGCTTCAAAAGGGAATTAGATAAGCATATGGAGCAGAGGTCCATCAGTGGCTATTAGCCACAAGGTATAGATAGGGGCTCTGGGGCAAGTGATGCTCTGTCTTCTTGGTGCTTGGGGGGGGTCAACAGTGGGAGGGCTTCTAATGTCCTGGCCCCACTGGTGGACCTCCTGATGGCACTGGTATTTCTGGCCCCTGTGTGACACAGAGTGTTGGACTGGATGGGCCTTTGGCCTGATCCAACTTTGGCGTCTCTTATGTTCTTATGTTCTTAATGCTCCCAAGGGAGGCCCTAACACTTGCCAGGGGCAGGGAGCCCAACTTTCCATGGAGTGTCCGGCTGCCCATGGGAGGGGGAGCAACCATGTTTCATGGGCCCCTCCCCATGGTATAGGGTTGTGCTACAAGAAAGGATAGACACGATATAAAAGAATCCAAACGGGGCTTTCAACAATAAACCAGTCTGAACAGAATTCCTGTGGATGTCCCCAGGGTCTGAGGTACAGCAGGATTTAGTTTCATGAAGGTCATACAGCAACCTGAAGGGGCTGAGATTCTGCATGAAGGCCCCAAATACAAGTCCCAGCATCTTGACCTCAAGGATTTTAGGTAGCAGGTAAATCTGGGCGTGATGGACCAAATGTCTGACTCCAGATGAAACAGCTTTGTGTGGTCCTCTGATGCTCATGCAGGATGCTCGAGGTGTGGCTGGGGGGGGGGTGTTGTCTCAATCCCAAGACTGCATCTCTTAATTCAAACACCAATGTTTCCCTCACTGCAGTGTTCGAGGAAGATCTAATTTGGAAGACTTGTTTTCTTTCAAAATACTGCAATGAATCACACCGTTCTATCGATTTTGGCATCACAGGACAAATGTTGATCAAAACGACCTGCTGCATGGGAAAGGAGTGTGAGGTCATTCCATCCTGTAAGTCACTGCTGCATCCCTCTTTCCTCCTCTTACCACTTCAAGCTTCTGAAAATTAAACCCAAGAATGTATCCTACTCACCACCATTGCTGTATGTTCCAGTTCAGTTCTATAGAACTCATAGAGAGGCAGGAATGTATCAATGAAACAACAACAGAGGGAAGTCTGCCCTAAAGAACCTCTACTGGAGCTATGTCAACCCTCGGAGTTGAGCCCAGACCTTCTTGTTAAGGTTCCTCCAGGTGGCTATACCACTCCTGGCCAATCCAGAGTCTTCATGGGTCCTGCCGTTCACAAAGACAGATATTTAACTGATATCCCATCCTGCAAGAAGGTTGTAAGGCCAGAAGGCAGGCAGTCAGACAACGTCCCCAGCCACAGCCCCCCAGATTTTGCAAAAGCAGTATTTTCAAAGGCTTTGGGATGGCACTACTGTTGTCAGTAAGTGGTCAGGGGCCATGGTATGATATGCTAGGAATGCAAAAGGCCCCAGGTTCAATCTCCAGCATCTCCAGTTACATGGACCAGGTAGCAGATGATGTGAAAGCCCTCTTTCTAAGATCCTAGAGTCCCATTGCCAGTTTTTGAGTAGACAAAGCTAACCTTGATAGACCACAAGTTGGATTCAGTGAAAGGCAGCTTCCTGTGTCCATGGGAATGTGTACCCACGGTTCAGTCATTCATGGGATCATAGAAGACTTGTCCCAAGACTTAGCACAGTGTGAGGGGCAATGCTCCCTTTAAGCTGTGGAGTCCTGTGAGCAAAAACTCTATTTTGTGAGCTACTGGCATTAAAGTTGTGAGTGAGCGATTTGGCTACTGCATAAATCAGTTTGCTCTGGAGCCATCCTTCCTGAGCGGAGACAAAAATGTGTGAGCCGGAGGCTAAAAAACTGTTAGCTAGCTCACACAAACTCAGCTTAGAGGGAACACTGGTGAGGGGGGGGGTCTGAAAATATTTGACAAAGTAATCATTTGGTTTTGTGTTCACTTGCTTCTGTTTCCAAAGTAACCTCCCCAGTACTGTTATTTATGGCTGCCAACTCCAGGTTGGGAAATTTTGGAAGGCAAATCCAGAAGATGTCAGGGTTTGGAGAGGGACCTCAGCAGGGTATAATTCCATACGGCCCACCATTCAAAACAACCCTTTTATCCAGGTGTGCTTTCTGTAATCTGGAGACCAGGTGTGATTCCAGGAGATCTCCAGGCCCCACCTGGCAGTTGGCAACCCTAGGACCAAACTCACACTTTTCTCTTTCATGCAGTGCCACCCATCAACACCACCCCCAATGGGAAGAAGTGTCTGGCTTGCTCTTCTATGACCAAGCGTGACTGCAAGGGCGTGGTTGCCGAATGCACAGGAGACCACACTGACTGTGCTGACCTCAGAGTGACTGGAGCCTTTGGTAAATAAGCATGATAATAATAATAATAATAATAATAATAATAATAATTTCACAAGGGACTAACAATGATTCATGGGGGTAAGGGAGGACAACATATATAAATCTTTAAATCGCACACGTTCGCAGCCGACGGGGATTTTGTTCAGCTATAGACTAGACATGTTCCAGATGGCATTTCACTCGGCTTGGTTTGATGACGTCAGCTTTCTCCAGGACTGCTTCGAGTCGCCGCACTGCCACCGCCTGGCCGGAACGGCCCGTTACAGGCTTCTTGATGCCGAAGAGATCTTTCTAGGCTTCCGATCTTACGAGCTGGACATTCCGTTCGTTGGCTAACACCTCCCCCACCGGGGGGTTTAGTGTGCCCACCCTCTCAAAGGAGTGGTGCCCATTTTATCTACTTGCCGAAGCTTTCGAACCGCTGGGTGGACGGCGAGCTGGGGACAAGGCTGGTAGCTCACACCAGCACGGGGCTAGAACTGACAGCCGTTCTGTTCAGCTCAGATGTTACTATAACCAGAGGATAAATCCCACTGCTCCCCGACTCACCGATGGCTCACCGATGAGCCATTGCTTGAATAATAATTCCCATGGTGGGTATACATCTAGCCCATCCCCTCATGCCTGTCGCTGCCCATACCTGACTAGCAGAAATCCACTGGCTTCAGTATCGTAGGGAAGAGTGGGTTAGGCAGCAGTCAGGGCATCTGTCTCCTTCCAGACCAATCCCAATGTGGAACACAAGCACGGCTTAGTGGTAGTTTTGCATGCTGAAGGTCTCAGGTCCAAACACCAGAGTCTTCAGTGAAAAGGACCAGGATGGTGGTTGCGTGAAAGACCTCCACCACCTGAGTCCCTGGAGATCCACTGCCCATCAAAGTAGACAGTAGTGATCTTGATGGACCATTGATCTGGTTCTGTATAAGGCAGCATCACATGTTCACCTCCTCTCTGCCAGTCCCCTGCTTATTAGGATGGAAGCCAGAGTGAGTCCAACTGAACTGGTTCCCCTCCTGTCTTAAACAGCATGCAGCAATCCATGGAATTGGCCTGCATTTCCTTGTGCAGGGACGGGGATTAACTGGGAAAATGCGGTTCGGTTCATGGTTTGTGGACGACCCAATAACTGAAGAGCAGACCATGATGAACAAAAAAGGCTCCGAACAAACCGGTTCAGATCTTTAAATTTGTGATGCTATAGAATGTGGGCCTCAGAGCCAGTTCAGCAGAACCAAATCCTGGGTGTGGAGAGATGTGTTGTTTAGAAGCAAGAGGAAAGTATTTGAAGTGGTGTGGGCAATGCACCCAATAGCTCAGCAGCACCAGAACCCTGGACGTGGAGAGATGTGTTCAAAAACAGAGTCTGAACAGGGCAAAGAACCTGGTACAGTCCATCACACAAACACCAGGCATGGAGAGACATGTTCAGGCTGTCAATAATAATGCTGTGGGTCCCACTCCCAGAGTCACCACCGGCACCCACAACCCTGGAGAGATGTGCTCGGAATCAGAAGAATCCAATATATATAAAATCCCTAATGTATTGGCATTTTCCAGCTCTCCCACTGGCTGTGCTGTGTGCCCAATCAGCCATTGGCCTATCAACTGCCACTCAAGGGTACTTGCGTACCATTGGATGGGGCTGGGTCCACTCCTCTCCCCTGCCCACTGCCAGCCTATGACAGAATAAACTGCCAAAATGGCTGTCTCTCCTATTGAAGATGCTTCTACTTCTTCTTGGCTCCTCTGCAGCACGCTGGCTACTGAGGTGGGCCACAGGCTGTTAAGCCATTCTCTTCTCCTCTTGCTGCAGGACTAACTTTTCCCTCAGTGGCTGTTGCTAGGCAACCAAGCTTGGTTCTGTCAATAAAAAGGTAAAGGCAGAAGGCCCTTTCCAGGCTTACTTTGGCCTTTGTGGGGAATTCATTGGGGCCAGTCCTCACTAGGATTGCTAGCTCCAGGTTGGGAAATTGCTGGAGATTTTGTGGTAGAATCTATGGAAGTCAGAGTTTGGGGAGGGGAGAGGCCTCAGGTGAATAGAATGCCATAAAGTCCATCCTCCAAAGCAGTTATTATCTCCAGGGGGAGACCTAAGTTCTTGCTGTGGAATTTTGGTGATTTTGGAGGGTGATTTTGGACCAGTCATAGGCTTTCAGCCAACCTACCTCACAGGGTTGTTGTGTAGATCGAAAGGTGGAGAGGAGAATGATGTAAGCTGCTTTGGTCCCCACTGCAGAGAAAGACTGTACTTTTCCTCCTGGGGAATCATTGTTGCTAATCTCCAGGTGAGAGTTGGAGATCACTCAGAATTACAACTGCTCTCCAGATGGCAGAGATCAGTTCCCCTGGAGAAAATGGTGGACACTGTATCATTATCCCCTACTGAGGTGGCCCCTCTATGACAGCCAGTGTGACATAGCAGTTAGTGCTTCAGAACAGGATCTTCCGGACACAGGTTCTTCCTGTGGAAGCTGACTGGGTGATTTCAGACCACTTACAGACTTTCAGCCTAACCTATGTCACAGGATTGTTGTGCAGATCAAAAAGGGGAGAGGAGAATGTTGTGAACTTCTTTGGTCCCCACTGTGGAGAAAGAGTTTATTTTTCCTAGGTAGAGACTGCAGGGAGGGGGAAAGAAATGGAAAGCTAAAGTCAGAGGGACAGATAAAGGTAGGTTGATGGTTTGCTGAGAAGGAGATAGGGTTGCCAACTCCATGTTGGGTTTGACAAGGGGTGGGACCTCTGACAGATACAATGCAATAGATTCCACCATACAGACCATACAGACCACCATACAGACCAGCCATTTCCATCTTTGGAACCATTGTTGCCAATCTCCAGGTGAGGGCTGGAGATTACTCAGAATTACAACTGTGCTTCAGATGGCAGAGATCAGTTCCCCTGGAGAAAACAGTGGACTCTGTGTCATTATACCCTGCTGAGGTTGCCACAGTAAATTGACGTTGAGTGCCCAAGGCCAGGGCACTCACCCAGAGCGTCTTTCTAGAGCTCGTTGTATTTATTTCCACAACAGACCTTATTCCTAGTGAAATAATAATACTGTGGGTCTTGCTCCCAGAGTCATCACCAGCACCCACAACCCTGGAGAGACGTGCTCAGAATCAGAAGAATGAAATAATAAGACTGTGGGCTCCACTCCCAGACTCCCAGCCCCCAGCTGCAGAGAGCAGGGTAGGGCATAAGCAGGAGAGATGGAGGGTTTTATAAAAAGCTAAGCCCCTGTACTCAGCCTGAGCACTGAGACTGAAACCCCAGAAGCAAAGAGACCAGAGCAGGTCACAACATCAGGAGAGGTGGGGGAGTTATAGGAAAATAAGCAAAGCCCCTGTGCTCAGCGTGAACACGGAGACTGTGAGGCTCAGAGGGAGCCCCCTCCACCGCCAAAGCCCATCTGCAGAAAGCAGAGCAGAATCAGAAGCAAACAGAATAGAAAACAGAGCAATGGATCAGCTCTGCTAGCTCCATTCCTCTTGCACTCGCTTTACCAGGCAACAAAGAAAGGGTGGGGTCAGAGCTCACTTAATTCATAGCCTTCTGAGCCCTTAGAACAGAACGGGAACTCTGCTACTGGCAGACAGCAGTGCCTGTTATGCTTCGTAGGACTCCTATTGGTGTTTCCAAGCCTGGAGAATTCTGCCCCCACTGTTGCCTTGGAGTTTTGTAAACCGTTTAATTGATTGGTGGCAGTTTTGTCTGATAAATGTAGCCATCCACCAAGCACCACTGAGTGTGCCAAAACTCTGTGAAACTTTGTCGCGGAAGAATGACCGTGGACATTGCGTCATGAACCATGACCAGCACAAAGCCATGAAGAATTTTGGTTCATTAATCAGTTCATGCCCATCCCTGTCCTCATCCTCCAGCAAGGTCTCCATCACTTGTAAAAGGACTGGGAATTGAATGGCCACCTTGTCAGCTGTCCCCAGCATCTTGACCAAGTTGCTGCAACTTCCACATCTCTATGAAACCCCTAAGTAGCGACAGGCCTTGCTCTGCACTGAAGCCACGCTCTTGATAGAACAAACAACAAAGCATTTCTTGGCTACATTTGGGGCCTGGAGGTTCTAACCTGCTTCCATTGTCCATCTTTCCTGCCTCCACCCTTCATATGTATTGTCGCAACAGCCATCTTTCCTCCCCTCACAAAACCCTCAGAGAATGTCATGATGCACTGAAGTCTCCTGTACATCCTATCTTTTCCTAGTTCTTCAGTTTCCAGTGGGTCTGAATTTACATTTCCTGTCTCCATAGCCACTCACTCTGACCGATTTCCCACAGCCGCTGCTCTGCGCTCGCTCCTCTCTTTGCCCCGATGGTACGTGTCAATTTCCCACTCGAAGCCGCGTGGCCGCATTTTGACCCACGGCTTCACCCGATTTCCCCCGCGGTTTCGTGATCCTGTATTTTGAGGATTACGAAACCGCGGGCAAAATCGGGCAAAGTCGTGGGTCAAAATGCAGCCGTGCGGCTTCGAGTGGCAAAGAGGGGAGCGAGCGCAGAGCGGCGGCTGTGGGAAATCGGTCTCACTCTCCTGTGGAAAAAATTGGATAGGGAAGATTGGGAGTCAAAGGACACTTGCAATTCTAATTATGGCTGCCATTTCTCTACAGGATATCTGAACAAGTCCTTTGTCCTGAAAGGCTGTACCAACTATCATGTCTGCAGAGATACGTTACTGGGTTTCTCAGAGGGCTTCATCACAGGACATTGTGTAATATCCTCTGGACCGCCTATTGCCACTCCAAGATCACTTCTCCTCTTCGTCCAAACCTTTTCTGGGCTCCTTCTACTCAAAATCCATCTCTGATTTGTTCCAGGGTAGAGATATGTGGGTGTTGATTGAGCAATCCTTTCTCACTGCTGTTCTTCCATCAAATACAGAACATTTTTTTCACAGGATGTGCAGCAGTGATGCTATAATTTAAATGCTCCCCCTCTTTTTTGAGGGGATGGGGCTATGGTTTGGCTAAGTTTTTTCTGAAAACCTGGCAGTTCCCCCAAAATTTACGCAGACATCTCCCTAATCTGTACATGGTTCCATTGTGTGTGTGTGTGTGTGTGTATCTTGATGCTGGGATCAGGTTTAAAATGGGGTATGTGGATGGAATAACCATGTTCTTTAAGGAAGGAATTCATAGCTGCATTGTCTCTTGTGTTTACACTCGTGACCCCATCTATGGGAGGAAGGAGTTGCAGAGAGGAAGGAGGGTGCTTGGTGGACCTGGATACCTCAAACTATTAAGCAAGATGAAATCAATCTTTTCGTACCTGAATCGGTGATGTGATTCAGGTGATTTTGGATTTAACCATCTTCCCCTCCTCCCCCTCCTTCATAATTAATGCCAGGTGTTCTGAGGAGTACTTTTCCCAGAATGTACTGGGTAAAGAAAGTGGAGGAATAAAGACGGAGGTGAGCTGGGAGGGTCTCTCCGATGTGTGACCACAGTCTACTTGGTGGGGGAGCCCTGCTGAATCGGAGTGACTGGCATCCCGGAATTTCAACCACAGTGGCACTACTGATTTACAGTTACTTCCATGTGCAATCAAAGCATATGTTCATATAACTTTTCAAAATATTACTTTTATAATGTAACATAAAAACGTCGCTGTCAGTTTTAGAGTCTTACTTGTAAACCAAATGTACTCTGAATAAATGGCGATGTAAGTGCCCTAGCTGAAGACGTATTATCAGAATGGATCTCTGATGCTGGCAGGTTTTCAAGCAAGTCGAAAGGACATCTCTGCGGGGCTTACTTTGCTTAAACTCTCTTGATTTGCATTTGAGAGCCAGCTTGGTGTAGTAGTTAAGAGTGTGGACTCTAATCCGGGAGGACCGGGTTTGGTTCCCCACTCCCCCGCATGCAGCTGCTGGTGTGACCTTGGGTCCATCACAAGTTCTCTCAGAGCCATTCTCTCACGAGCAGTTCTCTCAGAGCTCTCTCAGTCCCAACTACCTCACAGGGTGTCTATTGTGGGGAGTGGAAGGGAGAGGAGATTGTAAGACACTCTGAGACTCCTTTGGGTAGTGAAGGGCAGGGTATAAATCTGATCTGCCCTTCTGCTTCTTCGTTTGAATTCATAAGGTTTGGCGTAACTTCGTGTGCAGCACCATCATTTGGCGTTCTCTATTCTCGTTCTGCTGTGATGGAAAAGGAACTCTGTACAGCGCGTCAAAGCTCCATTCCTGTCCCATTGAAGCCCCATTAGTCTACCATCCTCTGGACTGCTGGGATCTCACTTTCCCCACATTCATGGAGGAATATCTTGGCAGCCATACATTCTGCCATTTTTTTAAAATGTGAAATCAGAGGCTCTCACATATGTGGCTATTCAACGCGCATATCTCCTCCACCAGTGCAATGCTTGGTTGTGTCATTACAGCTTATCCCATTGGCCAATTCTTTGTGTGAGACTGAGGCTCAGAGAAGGAAAACGAAAGCTGCGTTTGTTTAGAGAATTCATCCTCGTACGGTAAAAAGGTAAATGTAAAGGTTCCCTTGCTCGAAAGCCAGTCGAGTCCGACTCTAGGGTTGCGGTGCTCATCTCCGTTTCAAAGCCAAAGAGCCAGCGCTGTCCGAAGACGTTTCCGTGGTCATGTGGCCGGCATGA